CCCTGCCCACCTGGCAACAGAGAGAGGCACAGCTCAGCACTGCCACCCCTGCTGCTGCCAGGTGGGCCTTGCCATCATGGTGCAGGACTTGCGGTGGTGGCATTGTGCTTCCCTGGCACACTTCTCTGCTGTGCCAAGTCCTGTCCGCTGGGCCATGGAAGCCCCAGAGGGAGGGCAGCAGGGCAAGAAGCCCAAGCCTGCAGCAGGCAGCCCACATCTGTGCCCCCCACAGGCTCTGCTCAGGCCATGCTGCCCATAGGGGAGGGGGAGCCAGGATCCGTACTCCGCTCAGCCGAAGCAGCCACTGCCTTCTACATGCAGGAGCTGGGGCTCAGGTGCTGCTGCAGGAGGGTAGGGGGCTGCAGGTCCAGGTTCCTGATCCCATAGCCCTGGCAGCTCTAGCAGGGCTGGGAGTTCAGGGGACTGTGGGTGGGGGGTAAGGGGTACCAGCAGGGCCAAGGAATTGTGGTTGGGGATTGAGGGGCACCAGCAGGTCTGGGGGGCTTTGGGTGGGGAGTGAGAGGCAATGGCATGGGCAGGGCACCAGAAATCAGGGCTGTTCAGCACCTCAAAGCAGTGAGGGGGGACAGCCAGAGCTGGACCTGTGTCCTGGTGAGCAACAGGGGCAGGGGGAGCTCTGGTTTTCCGTTATACACCCAAAATCAAACACCAAAATATATAGGTATTTAGAATTAATTTTATTATAGTGATTGAGGCACTCAAAGGCTTCCACATTGCTTTAAAATTGTAAATATATCAATAAAACACTGTTCAATTGATATCTATATATATAGTGGTGTTTCATTTTAATCATGGAAAAAGGCAATTTTGGAGTTTTTCATCAGAGACTTTTTGACATTTTAACAGAAAACCAGGATCTGTGCTTATCAGTTCAATCAATGCAGTTTAGGTTAACCTGCAAGGGGTTTTTTGGGTTTCTTGGGTTTTTTGACTGTCTGTACATTTATGTGCATTTTTCTTTCAAAACCGACTTCAGTCTGTGGTCTTGTCTATACTCACAGCTTAAAACGAATGGAATCTCATCACCACTTTTCTAAAAGATGAATAAGAAAAACTGGGGCCCAGACCCTGTACCTGGGGCCTGAAGCAGATGTCACCTTTTTGCCACTATAATTTTTATGCCAGCCCAAGACCAAGTAAATAGATGTCCATGCCCCATGTTGTGCCACAAATGCCAAAACGGTGGCAGCAACAGTAGTTAGTAGAACATTTCTGCTGGGTTTTTTGCAGCAGATGTTTGTTTGCTTTGTGGCAGGAGAATGGGAATTCCTGGGGTGCACAAAATGGGTTCCACACTTGCAGAAGTACTTTTCAGGACTCCTCTAGCAATCATCACAGCTAATGGGGAAACCCTGGAGTCCCCTGCCTCTAGAGCTGTACTGAGTGTTGATCTACAGAATTGGGACAGCAGGGTGGTCCAACTTTGCTGGACAACAGGCAGTGTATAGTTCACCCAGTGAAGTGGATCAGTTATGTTGAGACGTATCCTGGCAGAGCTGATCTGCTTCATTTGACAACTTCTGTTTATAGTCGAAGTAGAAGGTACATAGCTGCATAATTGGCCAACAGTTTGGGATGCAATATTGTCCATTCTAAACTACTGAGAGTACTCAGTAGGGCTATGCTTCTGTCAGGCAGGTGCCCACAGGAAACAGAATCGCTCAAGCACAAATGTAAAGTTGGACAAGTCCTGAAATTGTAATTGAAGAAAAGCCAGGGAGAGGAGGGTTCTCCCACTTTTTTCCACCAACAGCTTAGTGCAGTAAGAGCCAACTTTTTTGCCAGGCTTGCTATAAAGTAAGCCCTGTGCCCTCCCAGAGTGCCACTCCAATCTTCTTACTCTGCCCAGTCTTTTGCTTTACTTTCTGTCCCCTGCCCAATCTGTTGCTCTGCTTTCTGCTTGCTGCCTTAGCTGCCACATGTTCCCTGGTCTCTTGTTGATCTGCTGTGCACCACACATGGAGGCTACCCATTTCACTTGCAGCATGCATACCATGAGTTGGCCACCTCTGGTCTAATGGTTAGGGATTTGCCCAATAGATCTAAATCCTGGGCCACAAGGCTGACCTAGAAGGTTTTGAACTTGCCATCTCCTTCTTCCCAGAAAAAATACACTAACATTCAAGCCAGAGGCTAGGTATTGTCTAGCAGACTCACCAGACCTTTTCTTGCAGCTAGTGTACTGCACCTAACTGGTAAGCTAGCAAAGGTAAGGCTGAATCTCAAACTGTGCATCACTGCTCAAAACTACAGGTATGTGGCTGTGTACCTGCCCCTTAGGCATGTCAATAGGAATCAGTAGGCTCAGACCCCAAGAGTCTACAGCACTGTTGCTCAACCTTTTGGTGTGGCATAACAGATGAGTTACACAGGGCTCCTCAATGGGCCAGACTGAACCCTGTGTGCCAGAATCAGGCTCCACACTGTCTCTGCTCAGACGACCACCCAGTTGGGGCCCTGCACCGCCTCCCTCAGCCATATGTAGCTTCCTGGGGCCCAGCACCACAGGATAAGGTCCTGTACTACCTTCAGCTACCCACTGTGTGCCCAGATCAGACCCTGGGCCATCACTGAGCAACATGCTATCTGGCTCATGGGGCTTCCCATGTGTCTGGAAATTTGGCAGCAGAGGAACAGCAGTTGCTGCCATTGCTCCTCTGCCATCAAATTTCCAGACCTGTGGGGACCCCTGGGGGCTGAATGGCATGGATCTACAGACCAGATCTGGCCCATGGGTTGGAGCTTGAGCACCTCTGGTTTACAGGAACTCGTATTTCTAATTCAGTGAGAAGCATTCCTCCTTTGAGTTCATACTGACCCAGTACTAATGAGTGGTGTTCTGGGCTCAGAATTGTGAAGACAAACTCTATCAAACAAGTTGTGAAACCAAGTAAGATTACATCATTGAAGAGTAACATAAAAAGCAAAGAAACAAAGTCCAGTTGCAGCCAGCTAGCGAGGTGGGAGAGACAGAGAATTATATGTTAATGAGTAAAAGGCATAATTTTGGCAGGTATGTAATATAAATTACATGTTATATAGTTAGGCATTCAGCCTAAATCTCTTCATTCCTCATAAAATGTAGCTATGTTGGTGTGGAACAGAGCAGCTATTTAACAGGGCAACCCTATCAAATGTTTTTGTCCCTTGTTTAAAATATTTTTTCCCAAAGTTTGTCCAGAGCTCAGCATCACCTTTATGGTTCAGATGGAAAAGTCTCTGACATTCCTTAACCTCATATAACCTATTTCTTTGTCATTTTTAAGTTATTTTTTTATACTGTCATGTTTGATGAGTCTCAAATTATTTCCTGACAAAGTACCCTTGTGCTGACTTATTCCTGTATACCTTCTTTAATAAATTTCTTAATGATCTCTTAGTGCTAAAAATATTTCTCTGCTTATGCATCCACTTATTTTTTTCCATTCAAATCAACTCTCTTCCGCATGTTTCCTCTCTCTTCTTTTCCAAGCACTGCATTTACAGCTGGTATGATGTTGCTGATTACTTGCAGAAAGCAGAACTGTCCAACTGCCAGCACATGGGCCTTAGGCAGCCTGCAGAAGGTTAGTGTGCAGCCCCTGAACTCTCACCCAGCTGCTGCTCTCCCTATTGCTGTGGCTGCACTACCAGCCAGAGGTGCCAGACATCCCCCACCCCCTCCCACACACACTCCCCGTTCTCTGCTTTCTGCTTCCTGCCTCACTCCAGGGTCTGAGATAGAAAAGCATGGCACAGTCTACAGTGCTAGAGAAGCTAATGGTGTGGGATCCTGCCATGGCACAAGTAACTGAAGGTGAGGCTGGGACACCTGTGTGCATGGATGCTGTGCAGTGGGGAAACACTCGTATGCAGTGCAGAGGGGGATGAGAGCACCTGTGCTCTCTGGGGCAGTATGGAGGTAGGAAGTACCTGGGTGCCTGGTACAACAGGAGAGCACGTGGGACCCTTACTGATATGGCCCCTGCAGCATTTGGCCCCCACTGATGCACAGACCCAGACCATTAAAGACTTGGACAGACCTGACCTAAAGTAATCAGAGCCCGTGTTATTGCATAGCTCATATGAAGGCAGGGTGTTATATAAACTATTTGGTTATTACCTTCCTAAATAAACTGTAAACCAATCATCTCTGTGATATGTTTACCCTCTAATAACCTGACTCCTGCTTCAGTACGAGATGCTTGATTTGCCAGAGCACTGTGATGCATCAGTTTTCAAACTTCTTTATTCTTTAGGTTAACAAAATAAACTGTAAAGTATAACATTTAAATCACATTTCATATGTATTTAAGTTTTACTGAAGAATATTATTTCTAAGTTCAGTTGCTCCTAATATTTGGGCCAGTTATATATATATAGGCACACATGCACATACACACACATATATGATTATCAACTTTTATAAAACCTCTCTTTAAAGAGGATCGAAAATGTAATGGAGGATGATTGTTTGATGTTTGTGCATGATACCAAGGGCAAAATGACTTTTTAAAAAACTTGATGAATGAAGAGAAGCAGTGAAAAATGTAATTGATAACAATCACATTATACCACCTAAATAGAATCTTGACGCTCCAAGATGTTTTTGTATCATATTGGTGCATAATAGTTTGCAGAGCCAGTCTTACTGGAAGGATATATCAAATCCAATAAAAAGGATGTGAACACAGACAAAGTCCTCAGTCACGCAGAATAAGTATATTTAGATTGCTTGCATTCTGCTGATAGAGAAAAGCATCTTACTTCTTGAAAAAAATCTTTTCAAAAAGGTTTTACTTCTATTTTTAACTAAGCAGTGTGCTGAACTATTTAATAGGCAGGGTAATTTGAGCATGATTTAAATTACGAGTGCTGCCTTCTGAATATCATGGATACTTTAGCACTGGAATTTATGTTATTTAAACCAAAACTATAAAACCAGATTTTTTTTCTCCCTAAGACCATATGAATAAATAAAGCAATGTGACAAAGCAACATGTCTTTTGACTGTGTTTTAATATTCATCACTGCAAGCGTGAAACAGTCTTTATGACTAAAGACAACAAATGATTCAGTCAAAAAATAAAAAAATAAAACCACCAAGAGCAAGAAAGTATTTAATCTGTTGAGACTTGTTCCAGGTAAGAGGTTTGTTCAGATTCCTTTCAAGAAAGAGGTCAATTAACCTCTTGAAAGTCTTCTTTTCAAAATGGAGAGCTTGTTCAAAGATGTACATGGCACAAAGTTATTTATGTACATTTGTTTTCAGATGAGCTGTGTAGCAAAAGGGAATTTGGTTAATTTAGGTTGTGACATGCTTTCCTACATGCTAGTGATGCATGAAAACATTTATTTTAAGCCAATTTTTTAGAGGCCCATGAATTGATCTATACACGTTCCAGTCTAGAGAGGATTTCAAAGTAACATTAAGATGTTTTCACAAAGATCAATGGCAGTTTGTAGTCTCTGAGTTATTACTTGAAATTAGTTGTTTACATCATTTACCATTTGTCCAGTATCTTATTGCCATATCCCTTGGTGGAAATACATAATCCCATTTAAGATCACTGCTGTTTCTGT